GGTGGAGGCCTATGGCACTGTGGCCCATCACTGGGTAAGACACTCTCGAATCGGTCCCAGCGCCGCGGAACAACCAACACGAACACGAACAAAAACTTTCTCGTCTGAATACCCGTCCTTTCGCTGGAACGTCCTCTGTGTCTGCAGCTAGCGTACACTCCCACTCCCCCGAGCCTTTCCCCAGCCTCACCTCCACACTCCCATCCCACGACTCGTGCACAAACAATTCTCGCGCACATGGGCCCTCGCCTGTGCCTCGCCACATGCAACAGTCCCCTGAGAGATTCAGCCAGGGGATGCGACGAGGGCGGTGGGGGATTCCCCTGGCGGGAGCCTCTCTCCATAGCAAGACTCCATGCCAGGTGGTCAGTGTCGATCTGGGGCTGCGTGAAATCGCCCTTTTCCGATTGTTCCGGCTGGCCTTGTGGCCTTTGTGGAGGGTTCAGAAATCTATCCAAGAGTGGCAAACAAAAGCAGCACTCGAGACCCTCTGTGTCTCGTCTTTCTGTGCATCTATACAACAAAAGCTGCTCACTTCTGCGGTCTCATTCTTGCTATCAGCTCACGGGCTCGCTCACTCCCACGCCGAGCCATCTCCTGCAGTCCAGCTATGCTGATCTTCACATTGCTTGTCTCGCTCTCAGCGCTATCCGCAGCTGCCTCTCTAGCGCCGAGGGTGGTGGTGCTCGGTAGGTCAGCTCCGCCTTGAGTTGCTTGAGCGCCCGACATGTTGCGATCCTCAGCTCCTGCACCGTGTAGTTGCCTAGCTTCATGGGCTCCTTTGTGTCTCCCTGTTGTATGGCATTTATACCTTCCTCCCATTTCTTTGTTCACGGCGTGGCCCTCATCGGATTGAACATGACGTGTACCGTCCACTTGTTCGGCTGGCCAGGCTCGCTGTACGCTTTCTTGACTCCGAAGTATGCCTGCATGTTCGTGGACTCGTTAATCGTCATGATCTCGATGAGTTGGCTGAACTCCATCAGGATCTTCTTGTTCTCTCCCTTGGTCCTCCTGCTTGGCCAGCGACAGGAATAACTCCATTCCTATGTGCAGACGAGGTGGGCCCATCGCCTTGTTGCCTTTCGTCTTGACCTCCTCCGCGTATGTTGCTCCTCCTGCCGCCGCGGCCTCTGCTGGCGGGAGCTCGTTGTCTGCCAGGAAGAAGTCCCACAGGCTGCCTGACACCGTGCGAATCATCTGCGCTGTGTTCAGCGCGAGCTTTTGCATGAGTATGATCCCTCTGCGGAGCCACGCGTGTTGCCATTCGCTTTCTTCTGGCCTCCACGGTGATGCTTTTCTTGTGGAGCTTGGCCTTCCGATGCCGCCTCCAGCGTCGCACTGCGTGGTCTTTCTTCTTTTGCTGCGCCTGCTCTTCATGCTATCTTCGGTTCGCCCAGAAGCGTGACTGGTCACGTCACGTTTACAAGATGTCCGGTAAGCTCTGTGTCCCCGCGGCCACACGCCGCAATCGTACGAGCTCTGTTCTTCTGGCTTGAACTCAAAGGAAGTGGCTCTGGTAGGGCAGCAGTGGGGTTCGGAGCGAGACATGGTGAACACGTGCCCGAGACATGAGGCTCTGCTCGCGAAACATGTTCTGCACCACGGGCATACGTCTGTTCGTACTATCATAGAGTGTAGGTTCCTCATGTTGTGTGCGTGCGTTATGTGAGCTGTGAGTGCATTTATCGTAGAGAACGACATTCCGCACCCTATTCCTGCGCCCTCCTCGCCCGTCTCGCGCGTGCATACGTACTCGTCTATGGTGCTGCTGTTGTTGCTGCTGATCTCGTCGTGCTGGTGCTCTGTGATGTTCGTGCGTGTCCCTCTCAGCGTCTTGATACCTAACCTCTGTAGTAGCTTCTCCCCCCTTTTCGCCCCCTCCTCACTAAGGAAGTCCCTGCTGGAACCCACCTGGATCCTGGAGAACCTCTGGCCTAGTTGGGGGTTCTGGAACACTTGCAGCACGTTTTCTCTGTCGCTCCAGATCTGGTCGAACCGCTGGTCGGCATTCGGTAGCGCTTGCAGATCGTCGTCGCTGCATTGAGCTGCCCACGGGATAGAGTGAGGCGTGAGTCGCCCTGTTGCGCTGATGCGAGGGGTCTCCAGCAACCTGTCTGGCTCCAGCATCTCGAACATTGCCGTGATTACTTGCCGATGGTTGCTCTGTTCTCTTGCTATCTGCTGCCACCATCTGATTCTTTGGACTCGGAGCTCGGTTGCTGTACGACTGTTCCAGAGCTGAAAAACTCGCAGTTGCTCATCGTCCTCACTCTGCCGTTGAATTCGCTTTTCGCTTTGCCGTGCATCAAGCAGCGCAGCATCTTTACCACCACTGAGTCGAGAGCGGTTGTGAAGGCCTGTGGCAGCACGACCGCCGAAAACCTGTAATTGCGGGGCTGTAGACAAAGCGCAGGAAGACAGCACGCTGCAATCTCTTGCGGAGGGGTTGGTGCCAAACTTCACCAAGTGACTTCCACGCTGCTCGGCCTCTTCTGATGCGTTGCTTGAGTTCTGTTCTCAAAATCCCGTCGAAGCTCAGGATGACCAGCGCTGCGTTGCACACGGATGCTGTGGTGTAGACAGGCGCTGTGGCGTGCACAGGCGCTGCGGTGCACGCAAGCATTGTGATGTACACATGTGCTGTGTTGCACATGGTTGCTGCGGTGTACACATTCGCTGTGGTGTACACCGGCGCTGTAGTGCACGCACGCACCGTGGTGTACACAGGCGCTGCGTTGCACACGGTTGGTGCGGTGTACGCAGGCGCTGTGGTGTACACGCGAGCTGTGGTGCGCTCGAGCATTGTGGTTTACACAGGCGCAGTGGGGCAGATCGCCACCTGCATGCTGCTCGCGTCGTCGTCGTCGTCGTCGTCGTCGCTCGTCGCTCGTCGCTCATCGTCGTCGTGCGCGCGGGCGCGGCTAGTGCCGGAGCCACACGGCGGGAGGGGCGTTAAGTCGCTCCCCCCCCGCCCCCCCCCATAACGCCCGTCATCGCCCAAAATAAAGAAACGCGATCGTGATGATATTGATGGCTACTCTCTGCTATGCTCTCTGCTCTCTACTCTGTGCTCTGTACCCCTCTCTACATCGTATTCAAGACGCTTTGTGTTCACCGCCGGCCCATCCCAATTCTTGCCAGAAGAGACGAAGACGGGCGCCAAATTGGGATGGCAGTATTCCGAACATGGTGAAGGTCCCCACAGGTGTGTTTTGTACTTTTATCCTGCGCCGTAATTCTCGTCCATCCCATCGCCGATTGGGCGCACGGGCCCTCAAGAGCCGAAGATGCTTCTGAAAATGGACCCAATAAGCGCCCGAGGCTGCTCAGGCGGGACTGGATGGCTCAAGCGCGAGCATCCCCATGGTGAGCCCGAGCTTCTTTCGCATTTACATCGAAACTGTGTCCAGAATGACTGGGCCGGGCCAGAATTGTCCAAAAATGATATCAGATGTCGCCCAAAATTGGCGACGAAATTTAGATGTTGTCAAGCGGCCGATACGAACCCGAGCGTCCGCGCGACCCCTTGCGAGGCACAAATCATCAAGCACCAATGGGTTTTGTTATACTTTTTTGAAGTTTTCACTTTGTACGTAAGGTCGTGCCCCAGAGGCGCTCTTGAGGGCCCCAGGAGCTGATTCTGGAGGCCGAGAATGGGCCCCGAAGGGGCCGAATTGGAGCCAAAATGCGCCCCGAAATCGTCGCCAAAAGGATCTGCAAAATCGAGCTCGTTTTGGAAGCCGTCTTGAAGCGTCTTGAGGCTTGAAAAGGGTGAATGGCGCAGCCAGGCGGCGGAATGGCGGAGGCTTCTGGGGGGGGTAGAAAGGGGGGCTAAAGCCTTGTAATCAGCTCTCACGATTAAATCTCTCTCGCCCCTCAGCCCGGTGGGCGGGCGGATTCAAGAGGCTTACGTTATTCTGCCGACCCCCATACCAATAACAGTAAATTCGTCAAGAGTCATGCCACCGTGCCTGGCCTGTGGGTCAGGAGCTTCAAGGAAGCCTATGAGTGTTTCCTGGATGGGGCCTCTTGGAGGCCTCTCGGTGGAATCTGGTTATCTTTTGGAGCCTCTCGGGGGCCGCTTGGTGCCTCTTGGAACCATCTTGGGGGCCTTTGGGGGCGCCTCGAGGGTTACTGGTGGGCTTCGGGGGCCATCACGGCACGGAAGACTCGAGATGTGAGTTCGTATTGCCCTTCTTGGGCGCCTCTTGGGGCTCTCTGGGGTCGTTTTAGCGGCCCTGGGGCCGTCTTGGGGCATTGTTGGGGCTTCAATGGGCTGCCTAGGGGCCCTCTTTGGGGCCTCGTGAACCGTCTTGGCTTGGCCGTGGGAGACGCTGTCAAGACGAAGAAGATCATCCTGCGGTATCTCGACGCTCTTTTGGACTGTCTCGATGCTCTGTTTGGGCTGTCTTTGGCCGTCTTGGGGCTCTTTGGAGGCTCTGGAGATCCCCTGGGGTGCGTTGGCGAGCTCGTCTCCCCTCCCCAGAATGGGATTTTGGACCCTGGGGGGAGTGGGAACGGGGGAGGGGGACGGCCAACTGTTTCGCACGCCTTCGTTATTTCGGTCTCTTTGTTATCCTCCGTGCTTGGCATCTTCAGCGCTTGTTTACGGTATTAATCAAAGCTTGCGCTCCGTGGGCGCTTTGACCTCATTTCTCTTCCCCTCCCCTCCTTTGTGCCTCACTCCTTGCTTTGTTCGTTTGCCTTCTCCCATCTCCCAGTTCCCTCTCACACTCCGTCATGGCTCCTCCGTCCTCTGTTGTTCTCCGTCCTCCGCCCTTCTCCCTTTCTTCACCTTCCTTGCCCCATGTCCCCCCTCTTGCCACCTTCATCTTGTCCTCCTCCGTCCTCCGTCCTCACTCGTCGCCGTCGCCGTTGCCCTCCTCCTCCTCTTTCTGCTTGTGCTCCCTCCCCCGTTCAGTCCCACTCCTGTTTCTGCTCCTCCTTTCTCGTGCTTCTCCCACGTTCTCTTCAGTGTCCGTGCCTGGCTCTGGCAGTCCCCGACTTTGACCGCGTCGGCGGCATCCGGAGTCGGCGGCGACTCGAACGAAGGCTCCCGGCCGCGACGCTGCATCTTGGTCGGTGGGCGCCGGGCAGCCGAGAGGGGAGGGGGAGGGAGGGGGGGTGTGCGGCCCGCGCGCCCACCGCCCGGGGGAGTCGGTGCCCCCGGGCGGCGGGCACGCGTGAAGCCCGACCTCTGAGGCTCAGGAGGAGGAGGAGGAGGAGGAGGAGCGGAGGAGGAGAGGAGGAGGAGGAGGAGGAGGAGGGGAGGAGGAGGAGGAGGCGGAGGAGGAGGAGGAGGGAGGAGGAGGAGGAGGAGGGGGAGGGAGGAGGAGGGGAGGGAGGAGGGAGGGGAGGAGGAGGGAGGGGGAGGGGGAGGTGGGGTGCGCGGGGAGGGCCGTGGGGTGCTCGCACCCCTGTCGACACCCCGTCCCGCCCGCCATCCCTCCCCAGGGGAGGGGGCGACGGGGGAGCGGCGGGAGCGTGAGCGGGAGGAGGGCAGGGCGTCCCACCCGCGAGGGGGCAGCGCAGGGCAGGGGGGGGGTGCGGGGCGGGGGGGGTGCGGGGCTGAGGGGTTCGCCCGGTTTCGCAGGCAGCGCCCGTTGCCTCCTCCGCCGTCGGGGGCCAGGGGCTGGCACAACCGGCCGCGCATGCTGCGGGCTCGCCTCCGCCGGCCGAGGGGCCGGATGCGATGCACTCAGCGGTTTCGAGTCATCCCGCCGAACCCTTTTTCTAGCCTTGGCTCTGTCATCCTGGCCAGCCGCTTCCAGCCAAGTGGCCTCCACTCCGCGTCCCCTGGCCGCGTTTCCCAGGCAGCCCAACCACCAGCACTATGAGGAGTGTCGGCTCAAGCCTCGCGGACACGAGCAGCACCGAGAAAACTGGTACTGCTCCATGCGGGCTCGTATTAAGTTCATGATTTTCTGCGAGCCCAGTGAGTCCTGCTGCTGGTCCTTCTGTCCCATCAGGGCACCCACACTCTCCGTGTCATCGGGCTCCTCCGTGACCACGGCATGTTCCACAGCTAAGGGTTCGCCAACGCCTCCGTGCGCCGCTGAATGATGGGGTGGACAGCGGCTACCGCGGTGTCCAGCGCCTCCCGCTCTCTGGAGAAGCAGACCGCTGTGCCGCAGGTGCACGTACTGCCGTCCACCTCCGCGAAGCCCTGCCTGGGCTCGAGCATTGGAGCCTCCACGTTCCACGTGAACTGGTTGTTGCCGTGTGCCGCCACGCTGGGCGACCGCACCTCCTGCCTGCGCTGCATGGCCTTGAGCTCCCGCTCGATGTCCACGGCGGGCACGTCAAAGATTCCAGGGACCTCAATGCCTTCGATCAGAGTCTGCAGGGACGGGGCGATCAACTGCAGCCGCGCATACAACTCGCCAGTGACCTCGAATCTGTTCACCCGAACCTGTAGCTCAACCTGCCTGATTGTGCGCTGTGCCGCTCCCAGCTGGCCATTCAAGCGCATCTCCGGGCTCTCGCACACTGCGGTCGAACGCGCAACCCTGCTCCATCAAGGGTCGGACGTTCGTCCGACTCTCCCCGTCCTCCACGAATCGTGAGCACCAAGTTCGCTCCCCCAAGTTCTCCACGCCAGCCCCTTAGCCAGGATGTGTGTGTGTGTGTGTACACATACGCCGAGGAGCAAGGTCCAGGAGCAGGGGCCTACGGAACGGCCAGAGCCACACTTGCTGTGGAGGGGAAGGTTGAGGAGTAGGAGGAGGATGACGATGAGGACATCCAACCTGGGGAGGGGCCTCCTCCATCCTCCTCTCGAGGAGGAGGGGAGGAGGAGGAGGAGGAGGAGGAGGAGGAGGAGGAGGAGGAGGAAGGAGGATGAGGTGGAGGAGGAGCAGGGAGAGGAGAAGGAGGAGGAGGAGGATGAAAAGGAAAAGGAGGAGGAGTAGGAGGAGGAGGAGGAGCAGAAGGAGGAGAAGGAGGAGAAGGTGGAGGAGGAGGGAGGACCAGCATAAATCCAATATTCGTCAGCGATGTTGCAATGCGCCGTCCCTCCGAGTTCCATCTTTCCACACAGTGGTAGCGGAGCCGGTTAGCCGTCTGCGAGGCAGCGGCGGCCGGCTTCATGACATCATCTGCGCACTCCGACGATTCTCGGGATGCGCCTGGCGGAGACAACAGGACGGACGCGGGCCTCCAGGAGGCTGGACGCTCCGGTGCGAGGGCATCGGACGGCACGGCAAGAGCCGCGCCAGGTGGTCAGGTAGAGGTGCGCATGATGGACATGCGCGAGCTGAAGAGTGTCGTCAGGGCAGTGTTCACGGAGATGACGAGCTGGGCGTCCCGGTCGTGGGAGGGCCACGGCTGGAGCACAGGCGACTGGAGCAAGTACGGCTGGAAGGGGCAGGCCTCGAGTTTCGAAGCCGACCGGCATAGTACTGAGGAGGCTCCAGGCGCCCGACGAGAAGATGCCGAGCAGAAGGGCGACGACGACGACGGATGGCAGCAGGACGACCCTTGGGCGAAGGGACGTCGAGAAGGCGGCCGCGGCCGCCCAGGCCAGGACGAAGATGTGGACAAGTGGGCCTCGAGAGGAGACAGAGAGTGGTACGGCAGCTGGTCCAAAGGGGCCTGGAACGGCGTCGGCGACTGGGGCTCCGGCACGTGGTGGTCCAGCGACACGCGTGCTGAGAACTCCGGAGCATCGTGGTGGTCCAACGATCAACGGAAGAACGACTACTCGGACCCGGAGGCTTGGATGTTTTGGTCAGACTACAAAATATGGAGGCGAAATATTCAGAGATGGCAGAAGAATACGGACGTGTCAGAGAAGAAGAGAGCGGATCGAGTGATGCGGCAGCTCCCGATCGAGTTGCAGCGCAAGCTAGAGCACCTGAAGGACGACGCGTTGGAGAGCGAAGGCGGCGTAGCCGCGATCCTGGGCCACCTCGACATTTTGTCTGGAGGACGCCAGGGAGATGAACAGAGAAGAGCTGCGAGGGAGTGTCTCCTCCAGTTCCATCGGCAGACCTCAGAATCGTTATGTGACTACACGGCGAGAGTGGACGTGCAGTTCGACAAGCTGTCGGGCCAGGGGCTCCCGCTCCCAGACGAATGGAAGCGTATGTTCCTAGAGGAGGGCGCGGCCCTCGACATCCAGGGAGCCCAGCTGGTCCGGTCGCTCACACGGGACTCCAGGACGTGCGACTCGACGGTGCGGGCTCTTCGAGACCTAGACGTGACCGAGAAGGAAACGCTGAACTCCACCAGGGCCAAGACGACGCTAGTGACTGAGAGGCTTCCACAGTCCCTCGAGGCATGGAACCCCGGCGACTTCCACCACATCGAGGACGTGATGCTGGAGTTCAGCGACGTGAGCTCGATGAACACAGAGGACGAGATGACGCTGCTGAGCGCCACCGACGACAAGGACCTGCAGGAGGAGGAGGTGCCGGAGATCCTCGCCCAGCTCCAGGCGGAGCGGAGAAAGACGTGGAAGCAGAATAAGGGGGCTACCAGCGGCAGCTGAGGGTCGACCGCAAGTACTTCCAGCGTCCTCCTCCGGTTCCAGGAGCTCCTGATAAGCGACCTACCCCGTCAGGACGAGACGACGGCAGGCGTCGGAGCCAAAGGTGTCAGGTGAGAGATCGCAAGACTCGTCTCCCGATCTCGGAGGTGATCAAGAGGTCGCGCTGCCGGAAGTGCAAGCAGAAGGGGCACTGGGGTGACGAGTGCCCGAACTCCTCTGCCCCGAAGCCCTCCCCGCCCTCCGCGTTCATCTTCCCGAGCGACGGCGGTGGCGAGCGCGGCGCGGTCTTCATCGCGCTGCAGGAGGGCAAGGACTGGATCGACAAGGCTCGGGATCACGCTGGAGGAGGAGCCTTGAGCGAGCCGATGCAGCTGGCGGCGGGGCGTCTGAGGGCCCCCCCGGCACCATGATCGTAGATGCGGCGGCCGGACAGGGCCTGGTGGGCCAGGGCGCCTTTTTCGCGTGGGACCGTGACCTGAGGCAGAAGGGCTACAGGTCGGTCAAGGTTCCCCCTCGGCATCGGAATGCCCGGGGCATCGGCGGCTCCGTGGAGATTTTGTGCAGTGTGCTCGTCCCGACAGGCGTCGAGCGGTGCATGGGCGTGCTGGAGCTCGACGTGATGGGCGCGGACATCCCCCCCCCTCATGCCGATCTCCTTCCAGGACGTCTTCGGGGCCAGTATAGACCTCCCTGAGGGCCGTGTCTTTTTTCAAGAAACTGGGGTGCTCGACAGACCTGACTCGCCCTCCTTCGGGTCGCAGGTATCTGCATGTAAACAAGATGGTCCCTCCGGACCAGATCGAGTGCCCAGCTGAGTTCCTTGTAGAATACCTTAGGCTGAGCGCTGACAGCTTCCGAGTCGGCGAGAACGAGGGCTATATGGTCCTCACCTCAGCTCATCTCCTCCAGGCCCCACGGGCTCCTCAGGGCTCGTCTAGGAACTCGTGGGGCACAGGGTCGGGCCTCGAGGAGCCCTTTTCTCTAGGAATGCACGAGGCACGCGTTCCCTCTCCCCCTCGGCAGTCCTCTCCTCTCTCCGATCTTCGTCTAATTCCGAGCCGTGACGACGACCCTATCCGAGACAATGACGACGGTAACGACAGAGACGGGAAGAAGGACAGACAGGACTACTATGTGATTCTGGGAAGCGTTCTGAGGCGTGTTCATCTGGCTCCCCGAACGTGTCTGTGGTCTCCTCTGAGCTGTTCAGATCTTCCGGTTCGTCTGGGATCTTTGGGATCGGTACGCTCTACGTGGGTGACGGATGCCTCGGGGAACAGCTTCCACATGAAGGACGACTGGCAGGGTAAGCTCTCCGAGGGCCTCCAGGGTTTCCAGTGGACGGGCCACGCCGACATCGCCATAGCTTCCAGGGGCCCTCAGCAGCTACGGCTCGAGGAACTTGTGCGAGCAGCCTGCGAGAAGCCCATCTCTCGACCTTCGCGATCAGACCGCCATGACGGCCGCTGCGCTGGAGGCGGAGCCGGCGACAGGCCAGGAGGCTCGGCAGCCCAAGGCCGTGACCAACTGGACGGAGCTGATCGTGCTCACCCTCCCGGTG